ATCTGGCTGTTGCGAACTTATAGCTAAGTTTGGCTTAAGTGTATTCAATATAATGTTGTTTGGATTATGTAGTGGCAAATCTTTTTTTTTTTTTTTTTTTTTTCAATGCTACGATGGCACAATTCATGAATGCAAAATGACTTGTACAGCTAAACAACACCTAGGTCAAGCCGATACATTTATTTATTTATTTTTTGATTGGCAAAAATCAGTTAGTTTTTTTTTATCAAAAAAAAAAAAAAAACTTTATTGATAGCATCAAACATACATATATATGGATAACATCAATAAAGCGAAGGCAAAGAGCAAAAAGTATCACAACAAAACCCTTCCTCTCAACTATGTCGGCACCAAGGGAAACACCCTATCATATGCTAACTCAAGCTAAAGGGTTGGTGAGAAACCAAGCCCAACAAAACAAAAGAACCTATTGCAGAGAGAAAAAAACACCCATAGTAGCAGCTCAATCAATGGATAGAGAAGAAAGAAAAAACACCCATAACAGCAGCTCAATCTCCATCAGCAGCTCAGCATATACCAAAATAAATCATGGACCCTACACCCAATACTTCCCCATACCAAAAATAGCTCATGAAGATCCTAAACAACTTCTAACTTGATGAAAATTGAACACAACATCATTAACTGAGAATGAGGCACCACTGAGATGAGATCTCATCCAAATTGCTATCCTCACCTTGACACACTTACACAGATCATAAAAATAAAGCTGAGCTGCCTTGAAAACACAATCATTGCAATATCTCCACACAAACCAAAATATTGCTGCTGGTAAAACCCTCCAAACTAGATTAACTTTCTTCTTAAACTTCCAACCCAATCACCAAAGTAATAAACCATCAATGGAGCTGGGAATAGAATACAACAATAGCAGACCAAATTTTCCAAACAAAAGGACAATGAAGCATAACATGGTCAATTGATTCTTTACCCTAATGACAGAAAATACAAGTTAGGACATCTTCCCCTTCCAAAATTCCAAACCTATGCAGCATCTCTTTTGTTTTTAGTCTTCCTCTCCAAGCTAACCAAGAGAAAAATTTTGCTTTAGGTGGTGAGAAATTATTCTATATTAGATCAACTGATTTGTGACTGGGACCATCATTAATCAATCCCCAAGCATAAACAAGATTAACCTGGAATATACCTGACCGTGAAGACTTCCACCCGAAGCAATCAACTGAATCACTTCTTAAAACAGGGCCAGTCCCCAAAGCAGTGATTAATATGACCAACTCATCTTCTTTCCAAGCCTGAAGTGCTCTTCTAAAATTGAAACCCCACCCAGATTGACTAGATCTTCTAGTTACTTGTATACTCAATGAAATCTTTTTATCATTAACCAACTGGAGCAATCTAAGAAATTGGTTTGATAGGTTTGTTGAACCCAACCAAATGTCTCTCTAGAAACTAATTCTTTCTTAATTTCCTATTAAAATTTCCACATTATCCTTATAGAATTGAAAAAGTCTACCATTCCTTTGAGTCACTGATAATATATCTTTCCAAATCTGAGATATAGGACCATGAGCATCCTGATCAGGATACCATCTTCCCTTAACAGAGCCATACTTATCACAAATAACCAGTTCCCACAGTGCCTTATCTTCCTGACCATACCTCCACCACCATTTCAATAGAAAATTGTCATTGGCCAACCTGATATTTTTGATCCCTAGACTACTTTGTTTCAAGCTCATATATACTTCTTTCTACCTAATTAGATGGAGCTTCCTGTTATGCTCCGAGACATCCCATAAAAATGATGCTTGAATCCTGTCAATCTCTTTTGCAACACACTCTGGCATTTTAAAAAGAGATATGTAATATACTGGTAAAGCAGACAATGCAGACTTAATGAGTGTAACCCTACTAGGAAATGACAATACTCTTCTCTTCCACCCAGATAACTTTTTGAAATTCTCCACAATCGACCTCCAAGTCAATCTCCTACTAGGATTGGCCCCCAATGGAAGTCCCAGATGCTTCAAAGGTAACCATAGACACCCCATTTTTTACCGCCCTTAAGACTTGGGCGCTACTGATTGCTTACTTGGTGATGAAAGTTGTGCAGTGTAAAGGATCAATTTCTTCGGCAATGAGAGAGTCAAATCCCAACCTTGCACCCTAGTTAAAACTATTTTGACCAAGGATTTTAGACCTTAAAACCCTCTCTTTCAAAATATTTTTGAAAGAAGTTTCTACGATGTTCCGAGGCTCGCATTTCGTTAAATGTTACGCTTTTCGGTAAACCGAGCAAGGACAAAGTGGAAATGAATAAAAGAGAGGTGAAATCTCTGAAAAAATTTTCAAAACACCTTATTTAGGGGTTTGGGGTTGAAGAAAAGAGGAGAGGAGGGAAGAAAACTAGTTGAGGAGAAGTTAGGCATGAATCCAGTTGGACTGAAACTAAACAGTCTTCACTAAAAATGGGATATCTCATAGCATACTTGGAATTTTGATATGAGGCTTCCACCATTGGAAAGAAGACTTCCGAGGATTCAATTTAGGCACAAGAATGACTTGCAAAGGAGTCCAGGTGAAGGAGATATGCCCATTTGAAGTTGGACCTGAAGAGTAAATTTTTCTGCCAGTCACTGGTGAAGAGTACCGGCCATGGATGATGCAGTGCTGGCCATTGATGATCAGTGCAGGCCAAAAAAGAACCTATTCCAGCCATCAATGATGGCCGGCCGGCCAACGATGTCAGAACTCAGATTTTTTGCAGATATTTACCTCCAGTTGTTTCCACATTGCTCCAGCTGTCCTGTATTCAGATATTTTGACCTGAGGCTTGTATATTGCTATATATGGAGGCCATATCTCTCATATTGCAAGGTTATCAAGTTTGGGAGCCTCTCTTTCTAAAATCTCTCTCTCCCTCTCTCTATAATCCTCTCTCTTTAGATTTTTCTCTCTCTTGCCCTTTTGTGCATACAAGTAGATAAACACTTCTAGTTTGCCTAGACATTCTTGATCAAACTTGACCAAATACCTTCACCTTGGAGCTGAGACATCTTGGGACCTATTTTGGATTGTTGAAGGGTTATTTGAGCCAAGAAAGTAGCTGTTTAAGTGTTGTGTTTCAAAGGTATAAGTCTTACCTCTTTTAAGCTCTTTGTACATAGTTGTTTTGTCATCTTTTTGTGTTGTTTTGAGCTTAGTTTTCAACTAGAAAAAGTTCTGAATTTTGGGCCTAAACATGTTGGTTTAAAGCCATTTTGTGCTAAGGGGTTGTATCCTCCTTCTTGTTGCCTATTTGTATGTGCCTTTGCATCATCTCTTAGCATGTAAACGTCAAACTTTTTAGGCCTTTAAACCACTGAAATTCAGAGTTATTTTAGTGATAAAAAGTATGTTTTGAAGTCCAAAAATGGAGGGGGTGGCCTCCCCCCATTCTCTCTCTGTTCCATGCCTAGTTAGCATTACAAAGTAGCATGTTTTTGTGGCTTGTGTTAGCTTATTTCAAGTATGTTTTAGACTTTATTTTGACATGTCTCAACTTTGTTTTTGGTTGGTTGGAGCACTTGTTGCTTGCTTCTTGCACTTGTAGTGCAATTGGGCTTACTAGTCTAGCATGCCTAATGAGTTAGCCCATCATTCTAGTTTGTGTTAGCTTGACTCCAGCATATTTTAGCTACTGTTTTGACATGCTTCAAATCTGTTTTGGGTCGGTTAAGTCCTTTGAGGCTTGGTTTGCATGGCTATAGTGCAACGGTCTTCACTAGTCCATTGCTTTGAGGCCTTGAGCATGAAGTGTTTGAGTTATTTGTATGTTATAGCCTCATTTTGCATGTAATTTCAGCACCATAACCTCTGTCATGTGCGCATGTATTTCACTCTTTCATTGCTTTTGAGAGTTGTGCCTTATGCCTTGTTTGTAGCCTAACATGTAAGCATGTTTTTCTTGCCTTCTATGCTTCAATCTCAGCTTGTTTCAGCCACTGTTTTGGCATGTTTTAGCTTTATTTTGAGTTGGTTTGGTCATTTGAGCTTGATATGGCATGCCTCTAGTGTAATGCTCTTCACTAGCTTTAATGATTTTGGATCTTAAGATGTTGTGCATGAGTTGCTTGCATGTTGTAGTATTATTTTTCATGCCATCTCAGCATTGAAATTCTGCAACCTCCCTAATTTCTTCACTTTTCCATTTGTTTTGAGGGTTGGTCAACCTTAAGGTTGTGTTTAAGCTTGTGATAGAGCTTGTGCTCAATGGTTTTAACACTCTTTTGAGGGTTTTTACTAACCAAAGGCATGATTTCCCTCATGTCTTAAACCATATTTGGTTGACCCATCTCTCATTACAGGACTTTCACATTGGACTTAATCAGTTAAAGGATTAATCGGTAATGTAAAATGTGTAAACAAGAATTGGACAAGTAAAACATGACCAAGATAAGCATGTTGTGTTTGCATTGCATGTGTTCAATCAGACGTTATATTGAACACAAGGTAGATTGGTCCATTTCATACTTAAGTGATGAAATGAGCCAATCTCATTTGTCTCCATCACCCTTGATCATGCATGATAGGGTGGTGGTCTAGAGTCTTGTTTTGTGCATTCATTGAAAGTGTACAACTTGGATCTTTGGCCATCATGTATGAAAATGCTTGATTGGTGGTTTTGGATCCAAGAGTGCCACTCCTTTGATGTTTTGAGATGATAATGATAGGGTATAGTATAAACATATCCTCGGAAAACCCTCATTTTTTCTCTGCCTGTACTCTGTTGCAGTGTGGTGCCTCAGCACACCAGTGGCCTGTAGTGGCTTACTGATGGCCGGCAGTGGCTTCATCCTTGGCCGGCAGTGCCCAATCTTGGCCGACAGGTGGCCGGCAGCAAGTCCTCATGGCCGGCAGGCCACTGGTGCATTCCTCAACATGGAATTGGTAAGGCAGAGTAGAAAGTTCTTGGAGTAACCTTGCAAATAGAGGCTCTCAACAGCAAACCGGTGGGCTTTTCGAGGTGAAAATCCGAGTACATGCATATTCAACTTGCTGAGGCAGCATAGTTTGATGCTTTACTTATTAGTTAGCATTTGTTTTGTAATTTAATTAATTAGTTTGCTAATTAGTTGAGTGTTGTAATAATTAAGTAGCTTAGCTTAGCTATTTTTTTATTCAATTGGTTTATAATAATTAGTCTAATTAGTTTAATTAGATTAGTTTGATTAGCTTAGCTGAGTGTAGCTTAGCTTATTTATTTGGACCCTTCTTCGAGAGGGCACAATGTTATAATAAAGGTGCGTGTGTGTGTGCATGTCTTCCAACCCCATGTCTTTCTCTCTTTTACTTAATTGCTTTCGATGGTTAGTTTTAGGGCACGTTTCAATTAGCATACCTTATGCTTTGCATGTTTGCATCATTCATTTGTTTTGCATGCACCGGGCTCGGCGTATCATACAAACTGCATCATATTTTAATACTTATTTGAATACGTGAATCAAATCGTTGCATTTATATGCCATATTAGATAGCCGAGCCTATTAATTGCATTATTGCATGTGTTGCATTAGGCATCTTGTATAGTTAGGATCATGCATTGTTTCTAACTAGCTTTTGTTTTGGCTTGGAGTACATTGTAAGTGTTTCACTTTAGCATACTTGCATGAGTGTGAGTGTTGTCATGATAGCATGCTTGCCATGAGGCTATTTGCTTAAATAATTAATTGCACGAATGCCTGTGGGTGAAGGCTTGATTGCCTGAATTAGAACAACTCGATGATTGTGAGTTTTAAGCCCACTTTGTAGAGTGGCAAAATCATGTTTTAAGCCCACTTGAGGGTGACATTTTCAAAAACACACATGAGTCGCTTTGTTCCAATTCTCGTGATTGAGTCTATACTTGTATGTGTGCGCCACATAGTAAAGTTAGCTAATAATCAGAATAAGAACACATGTGTTTATAAAACCACATATTATGCTTAGTAGAGGCCGATCTTTGGATTGGGCGAGCGGGAGTGCTCATTTCAGAACCTTCCCCTCTTGTACCCAAGTTCCCGAGCCGAGGCAACTTTGGTGATGACGGACATGTGGCCCTTGGCACGAGCCAGGATTTCCTAAATTTTCAAAAAATAAAATATTTAGGTGGCGACTCTATAATCTGGCAAAGCAGTCCATGTTTGGCGCTTTTTATTCAAAATCGATTTTCCAAAATAATTTTCCGAATTTGGACTCTTTGGTGTTTATCAGTCTCACATTGCACTTTGTGAGATTAGATTCAGAATCGTAACAGGAGTCCGAACTGTAGGAGACCAATTTGCGCCTCTCCGAAAGGGGGGCGCGCGAAGAAAGTCGAGTCTACAGTAACTTCTTGCTTAAACAATTCAGTTTTGCAGCAAATTCCTCAACAAATACAACTGCCACACCCACCCCACACACAACACTTTTGTAAAAATTAATCCTTAGACTTGAGATTACTTCAAAACACCTAAGGATTCTTTTAATAGCCAATATTTCAGACCATTCTGCCTTACAAAAAATCACTGTGTCAGCTACAAATTGTAAGTGAGATACATTGAAGCCATTATCACCTATTGAAATACCTTTAAAGAGACCCATATCCTTAGCTCTTGAAATGAGAATATTCAGACCCTCAACTACAACATTAAATAAGAATGGGGATAATGGATCACCTTGCCGTATCCCTTTTTGGGGCAGAACTCTGGTGATGGTGAGCCATCGAAACTCTTGCAAAAGAAATACCGCCCTTTATCCACTTGGTCTACGTAGTACCAAAGCCAAAATTCTCCAACATCTGAATGAGGAAGTTCCAGTTAATAGTGTCATAAGCTTTTTCAAAATCAAGCTTAATGATTAGCCCCTTTCTATTAGATTTATTCCACCAGTCCACAATCTCATTTGCTACAAGAATACCATCCATAATATTCCTTCCACTTAGGAAAGCTGATTGAACTCTATCAATAATTTTTGGCAGTGCTGATTTAAACCTGTTGGCCAACACTTTAGACACCACTTTATAGACTGAACTAATAAAACTGATAGGTCTAAAATCTTTAATTGAGTCAAGACTATCAACTTTAGGAACGAGGGTCACAAAAGAGCAATTAATTCCATTACCCAAAACACCATTATGATGAAACTCTTTCATGAATTCCATGATATCACCCCTCATGAACTTTTATCCCTTATGAATGCAAGTCAAATTAAACCCATCGGGACCTGGAGCTTCATTACCATCGCACTCCTTGATTGCAGCCCAGACCTTTACTTCTAAAAAATCCTTCACCAAACAATTCTGAAGCTGACATTGATCAATGCATCTAAACTCCCCCCGTAGTCTTGGTCTAATCTTCCACCTTGCAGTGAACAAATCTTTAAAGTGAACCCACACTGCCTATTTCAACTCCACAGGTTCCTCATATAGAGTATCATTAATCTTCAATGAGTCAAAAAGGTTCCTACTTTGCTTTCTAGTGGCCATTATATGAAAGTACCTGGTATTTTTTGTCCCCTTTTAAGGCCCAATGTCTGCATTTTTGTAACCAGATCCACTCTAGCCTTTTTCTAAGCTTCCATACTTCATTTATGACCTCAATTCTTTTTTTAACTTCATCTTTTAGAAGATCTCTCCCTTTAGCAGTGAGATCCCAAGAATGTAACTCAACTTTAGCTGCTTTAAGCTTAGACTCTACACGACCAAATACACATTCCAAATCTTCAAGGCCTGTTTAAGTGATCTCAGTTTGACCATAATTTTGAAGCCAGACCACCCCTCCACTTGTGTACCATTCCAAACCTTTTTGACTTCTTTGATAAAGCTAGGATGTAACACCCAAGCATTTATAAATTTGAATGGTTTGGGATCCTAATCTCGCTCATCTTCCTTTAATAATATTGCGCAATGATCAATCAAAATTCTAGGAAGGCCGCACACCTTAAAGTTAAACCACTCAAGCCACTCCAGATTTGATAAGAATCTATCAATTCGACTCCAACATACACCTGACTGCGAATTATTCCAAGTATATTTCCTACCACACATAGGAACATCAACCAATTCAAGATTATTTGCAAACTCATTAAACTCCTGCATCCCCTTATCACTTCTCGCACAACCTTTCCTTTCCCTTATAGTTTTAATTTTATTAAAATCCCCCCCTCCCCAAACACCAAGGTTTTGGAAATGATGCTTTTAAATTAGCAAGGACCAACCAAAGATGACTTCTATCTCGACTATCATTAGGAGCATAGACATTACCAATGACACAATCAAGTCTATGATAAACCAAACCTGATAGCAAAATGAAATTCCTGGAGCTGTAACAATTTTTAACCTAAAAAACATGAGGTTTCCACAGACATAACAAACCCCCTGCAATCCCTTCTGCATCAACCTCCATGTACCCCGGTTCATCTTCTGGCCAGATAGATCTGACAAAAATCTCATTAACACTTGACTTTTTTGTTTCTTGAATCAAAACCATATCCACCCCTTTTTTCCTTTGTGAAATTTCTGATCCTCTTTCTTTTCTCAAGCTTACCCAAGCCTCTAACATTCCATGAGAGAGCTTTCATTTAGAAACAACTTTGACTCCAAAATCTCCTTCGGGTGCAGACTTAAGGCCCACCATTCATCCTCCTCATCTTGAGTTTCCATCTCCACAATTTTCCGAATAACACTTTCTTCATTATCCCCTTTTTTCTAACATTTGTTGATAAATTTATATAAACTATGAAAAATTAAGTTACTCAAATTTAGCTCCTAATTAGCTTAATTATTTAATGCTAATTGATTAAAAAAATTAAAATAAAATAATATTTAAATACATTTTAAAATTGATTAAATTTTCAAAACTTAAGCTCAACTTGACTTGGCTAATTCACAACCTGATGAATAACTCTAAAGTTATGAGATGAATCAAAACAATTATATTACATAATTAAAAAAGATTGTCCTAAATTTTATCCATAATTTAAATATGTGAAAAAAAAAATCCAATGTGTATAGTTTACAATAAGCTGACTTTAAATTTACACAATCCACTTCACTTTCATCAAAAAAAAAAATTTGATAAATTTTCATGATATACCCAGAATTATTCTGAATGAAGTTAAGAAAACATACCTCGGCCATGTTGTCAACCAACTCGTTGGCAGCATTGACATAAGACTGTCGGCGGTTTTCGGGCACAGTAGACATGGCATTTTGCATATCCTGAGAGAGATAGGATTGCTTGAGTCGAATGTAGAACAACACATACCTCCAAGACATTGTTTCCAGCATCTCCCTGATGCTATGCAGTCCCTCCGCCGTCTGCCGGATTCTCGCCGCCGCATCTTCAGGCGACAACCCCGGCTCGAAGAAACGTTCTCTTAGAAATGATCGTGTGCCCCAGCTCTCTGCTAGTGCCACTGGACTGACTTGGTGTAGCCCAAGTGCTATGGAAGTGGCTACCAATGCTGCCACAATGTTTCGACGGTGGTGGTGGTGGTGGTGGTGGTGGTGGTGATGATGATGGTGGGTTGGTTTTTCTTCGCCGGAAAATGATGATCGGATTAATGAGAGTGGCAGTGGCCTGTTTTGATGGTGGTGGTGGTGGAGGTTTTGGGGGTGAAAGAGAGTTGTGGGGTTGGTGAAGCTGGTCATTGTTGGGATTGTTTGTATGTTATTTTAGATGAAGATGATAAGAGTAAGAAGAGCTCAAAAGGTAGAGTAAATGACATTGTGGAGTTGGGCGAAGATTTTTTGTGGCTGATCCTAGCTTCCTGTTACTCCAAGATGGACCGTTGCTTTTGGTGACATGGCCGCCTTTATCTTCTCTTGTTTTGTTTTATCTTCAATGTTGTATAATTTTAATTTTTATTTCAAGACAAGAATAATTTAGTTTCAATGTAGATTTTTTTTTATTATTATTATATGTTTTTGAAAAAAAGAGCACGCAGGCAATCAATTGGTTTATTTTTTTGGGCAATTACATTCCAGTGAATGTCAATATATATATATATATATAAATATAAATTTATGAAAAAAATTGTAATTATAATTATTAATATTTATAAAATTTTTCATTGATTTATAATTATTTTTTCAAAAGAGAAAATTAATGAAAAATCTACTCTAACAATTGTTTAATGCATTAGGTCTATCGGATATTTTTTTGTTGGTGATAGATTCACACTGTGAAATAGTTTGGTAAGAAGTTGTGGAAGATATTTTGTTTCCAATTATACCCCTAGACTCTTTTTTACTTGTTTGACTTTTCATTGAATATCTATTCAAAATTATATCTAGATGTTTAAATTATTTTCTATCTGTTTAAATTTTTTTGTCTATCTGTTCAAATTCATATCTATCTGTTTAATTTTTGTTTATTTGTTCAATTTTTTTGACTATCTGTTGAATTTTTTCCCTATCTATTCAAAATCTGTAGGTTTCTCTCTATCTGTTTAAAATTTGTGAGTTTCTCTCTCTATATGTTCAAAATCTGTGCCATTTTATTATCTGTTCATTTTTTTTCCTCTTATCTATTCAATTTTTTATATCTATCTTTTCAAATTATTTGTATCTTTCTCTTTTCCTCCCTATCTGTTGCAATATGTTTCACCAACACCATCATCATTAACAACAATTTTCAACAACAACGATCATCATGAACAACTGTACACACAAAAATAAATAAATAAATAAATCTAGCACAGATCTACCACAAAAAAAAAAAAAGATAAAAAAACCCCCTAGAGATAGATCTATGAATGCAACCTATTCAAAATGTTGGAAAATGGTCATCATCATTATCATCATCAAGAAGACCTTCAAAATATGAGCCTTGAACACATATTTGAGCCTTTAACAACAGTAATAGAGATGAAAGAGAAAATTTTGACCTCAATACATTGTAGACGTCCCCGAACTTCCCGGGAGGGAAATCCCGTTTTGTTCGTTGGGCTCACTACAGTTCGGACTTAAAAGTCACGGTTCTGTATCTAATCTCGCAGAGTGCAATGCAAGACTGATGAACCATCAAAGAGTCCAAATTTGACAAATTATTTTGGAAAACAGATTTTTAGAAAGAAGTGCCAAACATGGACTGCTTTGCCAGATACAGAGTCGCCACCTAAATATTTTATTTTGGAGAAATTTAGGAAACCTTAACTCGTGCCGAAGGCCACGTGTCCGTCATCACCAAAGTTGCCTCAGCTCTGGAACTTGGGTACGATTAGGGAAGGTCACTTCGTGAGCACCCCCGCTCGTTCAATCAAAGATCGGCCTCTACTAACCTTGATATCGAGTTTTGAAAACATTATGCATTCTTATTCCAGTTATTAATCTCGATTTACTATGTGATGCGCATAGCATACAAGTATAGACTGGATCGCCTGAATTGGAACAACACATCTCATGTTTGTTTATTTTGAAAATGGTTTGATGGTGCTACCCGCAAGTAGGCTAAGACGTGGATTTGCCACCCTCGGGTAGGCTTAGAAAACATGATGGTTTGCCACTCCCAAGTGGGCTTAAAACTTATAGTCAATGCATTATTCCAATTCAGATAATCCAACCTTCACCCACAGGCATTCAGGCAGGTATATCACATAAGCACATAGCCTTGTGGTAAGCATGCTATCATGGCAGTCACTCACACACATGCAAGGATGCTAAAGCATAAACAATTACCGAGTACTCCAAGCCAAAACAGAAGTTATGTTAGAAATCCATGCATGATCCTAACTATGTTGAAATGCCTAATGCAACACATGCAGGAATGCAAACACAA